GAGAGAGAGAGAAAGAAAAAGAGATGGCCTCAATGGCCTGTGTGAAATCCATTTTGAATCAATTTTAATAGCATTATGCAAATATATAAGATGTATGTATCCATGTAATTCTTTATCAAAATAACCCAAATGCTATTCTATTTATAAACTGTATGTCATACCTCTAAGAAAATATCAATGTTTATTTTCATAAGCTTTTGTTTAACATGATGCTCCTCACAGACTAACTTTTTGTTCTGAGGTTTGGGACGTCTCAGCTGGCAATAAGTTATAGGCAACCTGTGATCACTGTTTATTTGATGTGGTGCTCCAGTGTGTTAGATGCTGCCTGTGGTCAAATACGTACAGCTATGGTTTACAATCACTGATAAAGTATATGTGCCCTCAAACTTAGAATACCTGTTTGTAGAACTTGGGTCTAATGTGTCACTTGTTGTAAGCCAGATAAGTTTGAACCTGGGGGTGGAAAGAGAAGAATGCCCTGCACGCGTTGAGTGCCGCCAATTCAATATTACTCTAGAAGTAAGATTACCTGTGTTTGAATGTATTCAATGAAAAGTAGAACGTATTTTGTTTGAAGACGGTTATGAATGACAGTTACTAGGTCAGCATGATAGCAACTGTAACCATTTCAATATAAATATGCTTTCTCTTGAGCAATCTGTCCAATCCAGTGATTATTTCTAAAGTGGCGGAGGTCTTAGGATGTCAGAGAAAAAATCAACTGCATCTCACAGCCTTCATTGTTTTAATATATATATATTTTGCATGGTGATCTTAAGAGAACTAGCCATGTCTTGTGATTAGCCATGAATTCTTTTTTAATTTACATTTTCAACTGATGCAATCTTCTAAATGCAAAACTATACCTTATGTAACTACAAACAGCCACTGTAGTTTAATGGTAAATGCTAAAATGTAGTGTAACAGTACCTCAAGTAGAGACCAGTCACTATGCCCATGGTACTGCAACATCTGTGGAAAGCTTGCTAACATTAGCCACCATAAGCTAGTGGTCATACCAGACCAAGTAAAGCCCTTGAGTGTATTGCATTGAGCAATGGTGCATGTTATTGCTTATGAGTGCAACTTTTCATTTGGAAGAGGAAGAATGTGTTATTTCTTCTTTTTCAAAAGTTGCATTATGACTCTTTAAATCTTTATTTCAAACCAAACATGATTTATCTGTGAGAGCATTACATAGGCTATTAAACCTAATTAAGTCACCTAAAATAATATTTAATTATTGCAAAACTTAAATGAGAATATAGCTTTTAAGACGATGGGTTTATTTAAAAAAAAAAAAAATAAGTGTGTGTATTCATGAATCTTTCCACCCCTGGTTCTAACCCTGACATTGAATTACCTGTAACTTATAGCCTCCCACTGCCTGTGTGGTAGGAAACAATCCCTGCCTTAGGTATAATAAAGTATAATTCATACCTCAACTAGCTCATTGTCCTGTTCGTTTGTGTGTGTGTGTGTGTGACTTCCACCTGTTGGAGGCAGACAGAGAGAGGAGCTGGTGACGTTTCCCCACCCATCTGAAGAGAAACGAGTTCCGGGTTCTTTCCAGCCGAGAGCTGCTCGCGACTGCTTCTGCTTTTTTGTTTGTTTGTTGTTGTTTATATCACGGCGTTCACACCATGTCTCTTTTGCTGGATAACCAATTCAAAGAGCTGCCTCCCGACAAGTCCGTAGACACAAAGTTATTCCTGGAGGCTGTCTCTCACCTCCCTTCATTTTTCGGTGAGTATACCTCCACCTGAACTCGATACTCGGCGCTGTGTGTGTGTGTGTGTGTGTGTGTGTGTGTGTGTGTGTGTGTGTCGCTGTCACGCACCACACTAGTCTGACTTGTTCCTCATTAAATGTTGGTTCAAGAAATGACTGGTGTGATAGCAGGAGCCGGGTTATGTCACACAGCAGTGGTGAGTAAGAGAGAGCGGGCTGGTTCACGGTGGTGGGTCTGAACCAGCTGCGGCCATACAGCCTATAGAGAAACTCTTTGTTTACTCATTGCACAGAGCACACATTGACCTCATTGTGCCTTAACCGTGCATTCACTGCACTTCTGCCCCCCCAACCTCTGTTTGTAACTAATGGCTGGCTTGTATTCATCCTACCCGCGTTTGAGCCAGGGCCATACAGTCATTCATATTTTATCGCTTTGCTCTCAAATGTCTGTTTCCCTTTCAGACTGCTTGGGATCAAAAGTATTTTCAATCATCAAATCGGACATTAATGGCAATATAACGGTGAGATACAGATCTGTGTGTGTGTGTGTGTGTGTGTGCGCCTCTGCTAGTGCACTGGTGAAGTTTTCATGCCGGTGCAGCTGCTACAACTCAACCCAAAATGTGCATGTTTCAGAAAATTAGAGCCGTATATGTTAAGGATCCTGCAAAGTATGTGACCCTGGAGGACATCGTGGTGTCTGAGCGAGAAGCCCACCCAGCAGAGTGGCCTAAAGTTGGAGCAACATTAGCTCTGATGTGGCTGAAAAGGTGAGCACTCGATGTTACATGTCACCCTGTATGTTGTACTGCTGAACAGAAGCAGACGAGACAGGCTTTTTTTGTTTGTTTGTAATACTGCATGTCTCCTGCAGGGGTCTCCGTTTCATACAGATCCTGCTGCAGAGTTTGGCAGATGGAGAAATGGATGAGAACAACCCCAACCTAATTCGGGTTAATGTCACCAAAGCCTATGAACATGCGCTGAAGAAATACCATGGCTGGATTGTTCAGAAGATTTTCAATGTGCGGAAATTCCCCGTATCTTTTATTTTTAATCATTCATTGTGATATAATAGGAAGGAGTGGACAACATCAATATATAATAGCTGATTTGAAGCTGTGGTTTGTGTTAAAAAGGAAGCATTTCTGTTATTTTGTCTGCCAAGAAACCCCATATTTTATGCTGTTGCATTACATTTGACATGTCCTTTTTTTTTGTCCATTGCAGGCAGCATTAATTGCAGCTCCCTACAGATCAAACTTCCTCAAGGCTCTTTCAAAAGGGGAGGAAGTGAAAGAGGAGGACTGTCTGGAAAATGTGCGTCAGTTCCTGGTTAATTACACAACCACTGTAGATGCCATCTACGACATGTACGGAAATCTGAACGCAGAGCTGGACTACACTGTTTGATGTCCCAAGGAAGGACACAACTGGACTGGATGCGGAGGAGTGTCCTGCAGCATTACGCTATCTGTTAGACAAGTCCAGTTTTTAATGGGACTGTTTTATTTTTTTCTCTTCAGTGTGGTATTTATTGCTTTGATTATGCCTTACTTACTATTACACTGTGTATTTGGTCTCAAAGTACATGCCTTAACAGATTGTTTTTGTTCTTGTACAGAATTTCAAGTAATTTCCTGATTGTCACAGCACAGCACTCTTATGCATATTTATGTTTTATTGTGTGGTTTGCTGCTGTATTTATGACATTAACAGGTGGCTTTCACCTGTTCCATCAAGAGAAGAATACAAGACTAACATTATTACAGGAAGCCATTTTTTTTGGTTAATGCCTCTCATTCAGATGTTCTCTGCCTCCTGAGCCCTGTTACCCAGTAGTCATTTTAAATTTTAACGACCCATTTCAGTTGTGTATTTATAGCTGGAATCCACTTAGTGCCTTGGTGTTACTAAAGAAATACACTATTTTCAAATTCAGAATTCATATATTTGCAATTGTATTTCACCTACAAAATAAAATGTCTGAGTTCTGAGATCTATACCTTCCTGGAGTTTGTGGTGTGTCTTGTGTTGAATAAGAAGGTGTGGTCAAGTTTTTTTTTTTTTTTTTTGTAATGTTCTGTGGCTTATTTTGTTCCTATTTATATATATATATAGTCTTAACCGACCTAACTTCCTTTTACACAAACATAATGTCAGACAATATTTTTGAAATTAAGAGACAGCACATGATGTGCACATTTATTAATCTCTTATGAGATACATATTTTCTGTATGGATATTTATTGATGGGATGTTTGTTTCTGGATGACTTAAATCAAACTATAATCAAATGTGTTCTTAAAATCATGAAATTTTTTCTATGACTTCAAATAAAAAATGTGTTTCAACTCAGTTGAATGATTAACAACTAAAAATCTGCAGTTCATAAAATATACTCTAGGTGGCAATATTTACTTTGTCACTTAGGTTCACTTTTGTGGTGCAGTTAGTGCATGAATTGTTTGAAAATTATGTCTAGGAATGGAAATCATACTCTATATGCAATGTAAACACAGTTCCAGTCTTTGCCAATGGTAATTTGAGTTTAGAGTGGGTTTGTTCATTTCTCTGCGAATATTTTTGAGGCTGATTGCTGAAAACATGTTAATGCCTTTGATTCCGAAAATACATTTTTTCAAACATCAGCAGTAAATTGGAGGAAAATCCCCTGTCTTCTTCATGTCTCCTAATCCCCCAGATCAACCAGCCTCTTCCTCTGCCCAGTCTTACTTATCTGAAGTGTGTCCCAGAGGCTGGAGTGGCTCTGGTTCCTCTCCCAGAGGAGCCGAGCCTGAGCTAATCATCTCTGAGCGAGAGCAAGGGGAGCATGTCTGTAATCCTGTAGGTTTATCAGCAGAGCGGCCTGGCCTGTCCTCACTGATAGATAGGATGGAAAAGCTCCAAGCGAAGTCAGGACACAATAGGCTAAAGACAGGAAATCATTTACCACAATGCCTCAATGACAAAGCCACTGACCTTTAACTCTGAAGTATTTGTTACATGCAATGAGGTAATCAATTGAATATTGTTTTATTCCCAACAGTGCATCTAATGCCATTATTCACGCCATCTAGGTTATTTGTTTTGTAATAGACTACTTAAAATGGGTTTGGATTTTATGCGTATGGTGACCTAAACCACATTACTGCTATAGCATCCAATTTAGGAAGACAAATGAAGCAAAATAAGAGGTGCAGCAGGCGCACCACCATCTAAGATTAGCAATTCAATAGCTGGGTAACAGCAAGCCCATTTCTACATAATGTGAACAGTAATATTCTTGTTGTCAAGAAAGCATGTCTTTTTCATACATAAATGTAATATAAGAGAAGGGGAAAGCCTGTACATTTTTATTTACATATAAGTATATTGAAGTATTCAACGGCTCCTGCCTTAAGCGTTGGCCATCCATCTAGAATAACATAATTCATAATGATAATAAAATTAGCACTTTCAACTTCCATCATTTATATAGGAACCAGTCCAATATATTTCAGCTAAAGATTGACTTACATCATATTATAAACCTCCAGTGAAAAGATAGATCTTAATAAAATGAGATCTATGACTGAAAAAACGAGACTTGCCTGGTGGTTAAGCCTTAAATCCCTTTGCAATAAAACCAGAAAAATGTCTCATCTTTCCACAACTGCTTTATCATTCATGAATATAATCAAACCGTCTTCTCAGCTGCATGTCTGCCAGATCATAACTAATGATGTGTAATAACACAAACTATTTGCTGGGTTTAGAAAATTTCATTTACTTGACAATCCTTATTAAGAAGAGGCAAAAAAGGGTGAGGGATTAGGGTCATACATTGCAAAATGTAGGTATTTCAACAAAATACTTCATGGAGAGCGCTCACGTGTTCATATATAATAATTGCACTTTATAATTATAGACAGTTTGCCATATAACTCAACAGGCTGACATAAATAAATAGTATTACAGAACCAGTGCAGACACACAAAGAACTACTCAGTCATACATCACACCATCAGAGATAATATAGCCCTACAAAGAACATATTGTAAGTGATTCAGGTGGCACTCCATCATACCCAGGTGTTGTGTAACAGTGTCACAACCATCGGGAGAAAGAAAAAAAACATAATTTCATTCAAGAAGAATGTGCACACAACCTCTTAAAATTAAAAACAATTGCAAACAAAAATACAACCCAAGGGTGCATCTTGCTTGGCCTGAATTGCCACAGTGTTGATTTGGATATGCAACAGTCCTAATACAATGTGCTGAGCATGACAACAATGAATCAATTAAAATGTTAAATTACATAACTTGAATGACTGCAAAAAAATTAAAGAAAAATAGGTTCACATTTGTATGCAAATGATCAAAATATTTCCCCAAACAGTGGCCAGGAAATTTGCATCATATAGCAGAAGCTCAGGTGCTGTTTATGTAACTGAAAAGTGGACAAAAGGTTCAGTTAATAATTAAGGAAGTGTTCCCTCTGAAATAAGAAGCCATTTTGTTGTAAAAATATACAATATATTCACAAAAACTGTTACTGGTGATCATTCCCAGATTCAAGTAAATGTTTTAGAAGGGTACCAATACAGTTCCACAAGTTTCCATTTTTATAAAGGCCTACAGAAGAACCACCTGCAAAATATACAGTCCATGTTGAAATGTAATGGGGAATTCTGATTAGGTGCTCAGCATCAGTATTAAATGAGGAACAGCAGACATATTTGATGGCCATTTAAGATATAAAAATAAAACATGAAAAGTCAATAATAAACCTGTATCTTAAGTCATGATTATCATTTACCTTTTCAGGCTTATAACGCGAAGCCTTTTACAAATACAGTACATGCACAGACTAAAAAGGCATGTCTCATTCTCATAGATGTCTGAACTGACACACTTCCATCGTCTATAAAAGGTTTGTCACTTCTGCGCCCTGTTTTGTGGCAGCGCCACGTCTTATCTGTAGACAGGGAGCTGGATGTGGGTTTGCTGGTGGTGCTCCAGTAGTTGAGGCATCCCCATGGCTTCGTACCCACGGCCCAGCATGCGCTCTTTGATGCAGGGAGGGTGGATCTCACTGATGAGGCACTCCAGAGACTGCAGGCTGCTGCTAAGTACTGCAGCGTGGCACAGGCTAGAACTAGGCAGCCCACAACAGAGGTTTTGGTCTGTGCTGTAGGCCTGGGTATGAGGAGGGAGGGGAGGGTGGAGCTGCGGCTGGAGGCGCTGCGGGTGGTGGTGTTGGTGGCGGTTTGGGTGGAGGTGGGGGTGGGAGAGCCCCAGATCTCTAGGCCTGGCTGCGCATGTACCCGTTGCCAGCACCTGAGAAGTAAAACAGTCGCTAGTAGGGGTGGCCACAACGCCGTCCCAGAGAGGTGCGAAGTACTGTCCGACTGAGAACTCTCCCTGCATGGCGGCACAGTTCAGAGAGGAGGTGCTGAGTCGCTCCTGCCCAGCACGCACACTGGCAGGATGCGGTCTATACGACAGCTGCGAGGAGCACCTCAAAGGGAGGCAGGTTTCAGGAGGCTGGCCAGCCTCTGCTGTTCTGTGCCCCTGAGCACTGTTACTCACTCTGTACATCCTCACTGCTCCCTGCTGATAGGACTGCTGCTGCTGCTGCATTAGATGTTTATGCTGCCACACTGTGTAGTCTCCTTTCTCTAGGTACCCAGCTTTGGCTATGTCTGCACTCTGTGTAGGTATCACCGCCCCCGTGAATGCCAGACTGCTTTGGGGCGGCACTCCCAGGACAAAGTCTGAGTCCGAATGTGCCACTGCAGCCACAGCCTGCAGAGAGGGGCTGGCTCGAGCCTCTCCCCCCAGCTGCAGGGCCTGGCTGTGGGGAACTCTGCTCATCTGCCTCATCAGGCTTTGAACCTCTGCCAGCTCAGACTGGGGGGCCAGGCTCTGATCTCCGGAGGCCATGCCTGCGCTAGAACAAAGTGTCTCAATAGGAACATCAGGGGGCTTACATGAGCTTATATGATAGGCCTTATGCCCATGTCTGACTGTGTAGCCATTATTCAGAGGATTATTATACGGTGCCACAGAAATCTGGGTGTTTGCATGTTTAGTCCTTCTGCCCTCAGAGTTTTTCACCACACCTTTGACCACCACAGAGGCTTTGACGACAGCCAATAAACCCTGATAGCCTCCTGAGAACGGCTGTGAATAGGGGCTATAGCGTGGGCCTGTGGTGTCTAAGCCATTGACTGTTTTGTTAAGCTGTTTATGTTGTGGCACCCGGACGTCAGATGGAAAGATTTTGATGGACAGCGGGCTGTTGGCGGTCTTCTGGGCAAAAGCGTCCAACTCTGCAGGAGAAGGGTACCGAGAAATCATGGAGGCTGGCTCGCCTGAGAAAGGAAGCAGACAGAAACAAGCGATTAGTCTACAAGCAGCCCAGAAAATATTGTATTTTATGATTTCTGCTCTATTTATTTCTCCTTTCAATCTCAAACCTGTTTTAGGGAATAATGGCAGACATCAATATGACGTTTAAACTCATTTTAAGGTGGGAAACACCTCCAGCACTGTTTGATCAGTGTTTAATGAAATTAATTCAGACTTAGTTCAACCCAAAATTAGTTTACCTTGGGAAATCAAAAGATGGGAAGTGGCAACAGCAGAGGGGAGAGGACCTAATTTTACTGAAATGGCTCCAATGAGATTCATTAGATGACATTTAGCAGCTAAACCACAGCAGGAGCAGCCAAGTGGAAGCTGAATTTGGTAGACTGATTGTAGTAACTGTAAATATTTCCAAAAGGATATTTTTTGTAGTTTCTTTAAGAAAATAGATTATTAATTGGAACACACCTCAAGCACAGCTAAATGTTAACAGTCTTCCTAGCTGATACACCACACATAGTTTTGGTTGTTTCTCAATAACCTTGCAATCATTCAAGCGTCACCAGTTCCTGCCTATGAAATTCTGTCCCACTTTCTGCTTTTATAAACCTAAACTGATTCTACTGTAAAAGCTTGGAGCCTAAACTGTCAAGAAAAAGTTGATGCAGATGGAAAAAGAGCAATCACCAAGCGCTGCCGATTGAATTGTGTGCGGGAAAAGCTGATGGGACAAACTAAGATTGGATTTAAACACTATTATTCAGGCAATTTCATGGCTGCTTAACTCCTAGCGACAAAAGGAAAGGTGGAAAAGGCGCCCCATTTAAAAACAATAAATCACCTGGTAGAAATTACCGCCACCTTTCAGACTGACACTTTTATGGAATTCTTGACATGAAAAGAAAAGGTGCTGAAATTAACCTAGATCAGGCTTTAAGTCGGTGGAAATCATAGCAGGCAAAAGAACAAGGCTGTAATCTGCAATAAAAGGACGAAAAATAAAAACAAAACACTTCATTTCATTTTCAATAACAAAACCAATTCCAGCTATGCAGGGGAGAGCTCACTTGTTGTTCCCATTTGAAATTGATTTGGGAGTTCATTTCATTTCAGGCCTACAGTGAGCCTCCCGACTGTGAAAATGATTCAATCTACAAGATCCATCTCATGAAAGAAATAAATTGGGTGTTTAAAATGGAGGAAAGAGGTAAGGTGGAGTGTTCAATCCATCCAGCAATCTCCCAGCGGAGTAGAAGAAACAGCACACCATGGTGCCAGGAGCATGAATGAATTCTACAGAGAAATACAACAAAGCAAAACACTGCTTATTATGTATCACTGTGTAGGGCTGCTATAGAGAACCCTGACATCTGCAATGTTGGAGAGGTGTTTTACACTGTATATAACATCAAGATTTGAGCTCTCTCTTCTCTGGTTTCCCATGATCCCTCTCATGGAGTAAGTGGTAACAGGGGAAAAACAAAAAAAGCACCAGCATTGACATCCTGTACAAAAAAAAAATCCTGTGTCTATTTTCTTCCTTGGATAACATTGCTCAATTACCAAAGATAGATCATTTAATGGGGGGAAAAAAAAAAATCATTTTTAGACGTTCAGTAAAATGTCAGTATCGAGCTCTGCACGCTGCGATTGACTTGCTGTTCCACAAACACTTCAAACACTTTGAATGCTAACACATCTTCACAGGGTGTCTGATATTGTTAGTCCAGAGATTACAGCCCTGTCAGAGCCATGGAGACACAACACAGCTGCACTTCCCACTGTGGCTGCCTTAATGTGGCACTATGGAAACCTCATTAGCAAATAGGCCTTCCCCATTCCGAATTCACATATTTATCATCGGATGACCACTACTGTGTGCCGTATGCATGAAAAAAAAAAAGGGGGCTCATTTTAGCTGATCCTGACAGAAGCCCAGCTGATGAATAATGTGACATTAAAACTGAGACACCATCACCAGCAATAAAACGGCTCTAAATTACAACCAGAGGCAATTGTTTCAATCTTGAGGATTTTAATGCCAATCAGTGGTGTTAAATGTCAGTAAACTGAGCGCAGCACATCATGTTTACCACTCAGTAGTGGCTTTCCTAAAGCGTGTGGTAGTAGTCATAAAAGTATATCTTGAAGTCATTCTTCACGAAATTAGTTCATTTCACTAGGCCTTCCTGCAAAACATACCCAAGTCAAACCAAAAAAGTGTTGTTCATTAATTACAATTTGGCACTATGAAAGCTAAAATTCCCTCTAAAGGTGCCAAGAAGGTAAGAGCCCACGATGTAGAGGCTGCTGTCTCTAAACACGCGGACCCATGCATACTAGTCAAAGTGATAACTGTGGCGTGCATAAAGGATTGCTTCATGGTTCTCTGTAGGTAACCAAGGAGGTAATTTGCACACTCCCAAATCAGGACAAGTCTTTATTAGAAAGCTTTTGCTGTGCATTGTGCCCTTTTAAAAGAGCTGGTGCAGTTTGAAACATGTGCAATCAATCACTCTCAGCTCATTTTGGCCTTTATGCTGAAAACAAGCAAACAAGTAAAAATGTGCAAATGTAGCCAGCTCCCCCGCCCCTCAAACTTTGTACTTAGGATACAATAATTATATTCAGTCAGCTATTTGGCTCTTTTAAATCTTTTTTCTCTTTTAAATATATGAGCCAGTAAATTAGTAAATATTTTCACCTCGCAGATGGAAATGTCTAAACTACAAAGTAGCTGTATATGATTCCTTTAATCTGCCTATTGCCTTTAGGAGATTAGATTATTCATGTTGTTCTTAAAGTAGGTTTGCATTAATGCAGGCTTTTTTTCAGCGAGAATCAGCACATAGACCAGAGGAAATGGACTTAATTTGAGACAAAAAATGAGATCATTAAAGAAGAAAAACTAATTCTGATACATAAAACTATGTTTATTTTCTATATTATGTATTTTTCTTATATTATATTCTTAATGATTTTCTCTTACTATTAAAATACAAATGTGGAAAGGACCATTACTGTTTGAACTTCTCTCAGCTCAATCATATTAATGTATTTAATTCTATTACAAATATAAATAAAAAAACATTAACAAGTGGTCCGTTTCTCCTTTAGACTGTCAACTACACATTTCTTAATGACATGCTTTCCTGTCTCTTTTTATTGAGAGGCCCTGCAGTCAGTCACATAACAAAATTCAGTGGTGTAAAGTAAAGATGAGAAATGAAAACAAATATGAGGCTGTTCACATGACAACGGGGGAAATGGCAGCTGTGTGTTGTCAGGTAAGGAATGGCAGAGAGATAATTAGCGGTCTGACCTTAAGCACTTAATCACCCTGAACCTGCAGACTGCACGCTGTTTCACTCTTCAGCCCTAACAGAGAGCACAGGAGCAGAGGCAGACGGGGGAAGGAAAAAAAAAAGCACAGAAAATAACAGCCACTTTCACTTTGCAAGCAAGAGGGCATCATGCAGTGCTTACAAATTTTAATTTCTGACCCTTAACATTTTTTCCCCTGCTTGCTTTTAGACAGGGATGATTGAAGTACGTTACGTAGGTTTGAAAAGCTTGTTTGCATTTTTCTTTTCCTCAAAAAAAAAAATCTGCATAATGACACTGATGTGTGATGCACCTACAACGCTAGATTGATAGATTTAATGGTCCCGCTAGTCAGGCTTGAATGTTTTCTCGGTTGGAAGGGGCCCCACACATTAAACATGCTGCTCAACTGTTGTGGCACCATGCTGAGTGAAACTGGCACACTTTCACAGGAAACACCTAATCCTGATTTCCTCTTTCCATGCAGGGGACATGCATGGAAAGAAACAGTTGGGGGTGGGGGGAGGCAATTATAAACTCTCAATCACCACTAAGCCTAAGTTATTATGTGTGTGTGTGTTTGTGTGCACATGTGTTTTTGACTTAAAGAAAGATTTTTTTTATAAATATTAGCATAAAAATATTTTGGAGGGATAAAACATTGGGTACTTAGCATACTGTGGTATATATATGGTCTTTCATAACCCTGATTCCACCCCCATACAATCCCACTCAATGCTTTCTGCCACTTTAAACTGGCTAATCTTTTTCCCGTGGTCACACTTGAAGCCATTTTTCCTCCCAGATTAGAGCGGAGACCTCATTGTTTTGGAGCAGTTTGAGTTAATCACTAATTTATGGGCAAAACAAGCCCCAGAGGCAGGGCTGAAAACGGCAGTTGGAAAAGCTCATTGCGTTTCCAAAACCACAGCTTCCAACCATTTCATACCCAGAGGGCCAACATAAGGAAATAATTTGAATGACCACTACGCATAATTCCCATGAGACAAACCTACAAATTCACAAATTATTCCTTGTTAATATCCATACATGTTGGTAGAGCTGCCAGGCAAAAATCTCACGGGCCTTTGATGTTATTCTGAAGACGTATCGTGAATACTTTTGTGAGATAACATGTTTACTCCAGTCAAAGCCACAGCAGGAACATGGCCCTGAGAACATAATAACACAAGTGCTTCTCAGCAGGCATAAACACGTGTTTACCACCAATAATCCTGATATTTAAAATACTCTGGCCTACCTTAATAACCAGGGCTGAGCACATTCACAATGCATTTGAAACCTATGTGTCTGTTACCATGACAACCTCATCTATGCACCCAGTTGGCCCAATAAGCCCAGTCATTAGAACCATGTAATTAATTGGCCCTGACTTTATTCATCTCTTTGAGACAAGCTTCTGCAGTTGACTATCTGCTGGTTAGACAGAGAAATAACACCAAGTGGCTACATTTTCCTCCTAATTTAGGCCACAAATTGTAAATAAAAGTATGTTGTTTATTTATTTACATCATTTATATCATTATATGCTAATTATAGTAAACGGTAATAGATTACTTCCGTCAATTTCCAACTTCCAATCACATTTCAAGCAAACATTTAGTCAATAAAAAATGACCACTAGGTGGAACATAAAAAAGGGGATATGGCTACATAAAAATGTAAGGTGAGAGGTGAACTACAACTGCCCAGGTGTATTTCGGTAAGAAACATCTAATCACAGAAATACAATTCTGTTATATGCACAACTCATTGTGGTTAGAAGCTAAGAGTTATGTTGTTGATAAAATTATGAATACAATCTTCAAATTTGGGGTAAACCTTGGATGAATTCACCAACTGCAGCAGCTGTGTTTTGTTGCCACCTGCAACAATGAAGCATTTTGAATTTTGCTGGGTATTGTAGTGCTGTCAGCCATGCCAAACTGATCAACAAAATATGATCTCTCAGAAACCAAAAAAATGGATGGCCATAACATGAACCTATAGGGCTATTACATGATTTGTGTTTCAATTCAGTATATCATTGAAAGATAATTTTGAAATGGGAATATTGGAAGAAAGCACTCCCAGAACCAGCCCCACTTTGCAACTATGTGGTGAGTGTGTGCAAACAAGCATATTTACTTATCCAGCAGACACACAGTAACATGGAGTTGTGTTTCTGGCCACCTGGTGAATTAAAGTGCAATATTCTTCTCTAATCTCTTCTTTTAGCTCTGTTTTGGTCTACCAACTCCCGAAACAAATATCTGGGTTTTTATTGTTAGCTCGCTAAATATTTGACAGTTATCACCAGCTAGTAATGTTGGGCTGAAAGAAGCTAAAAAGCTCAGAGTTATAATAGAAATTCACCAGCTTTGTCAGTGAATGACCCCTTTCACATGAGAGTCCTTTGACTTTGTAAATAAAAAAATATTGATTAATAAGTTCAATAAGTATTATCACAAGTAAGAGATGCAGTATCATAAGCTTATCTTTTGTCTTAGAAAAGCATTCATATTTATCTCCTAAAAGAAGGTTAATGCCCAAATGTGGTTTATTCAACCTAGGGACCCAGAGGACCATGAGTGAAGTGGAAAAAGTGCAAAAGACACTGGTCATGCTGACACCAGAACGTACGCTCTTAAATCTCACTTCCACTAGCCGCTCTATTCACAACCTTCTTCTGCTAACACACAAAAATATAAATTCATTCACCCCATTTTTACATGCCTCCCTCGTTCCATGTCAGTAATCTCTACATGAAGAGTGCTCACAGAATAGAGTAACCTCAGGGTTGAACACTTAGTTATGTGTGTGCTTGAAGAGGCTCCGGCGAATACTCCTTTGCACCAGTGTCACTCCTCATTTGTTTCTGTGCTGCTTGGCCCAGCTTGGGCAAAGTTTCCCCACTCAAAGCCGACCCGAACACAGGCCGGCAGCGTGGGAAAGAGCGTTCCCAGCCCCTGCTTTCAAGCGGTATAGCAGAGAGGAGAACAGCTCTCATTCACTCTCATCACATAATTCCTAACACTCAGAAATCTTTCACATGGGTTTATATGGCTGAGAGCTTTCATGTCTTCCATTTTCAGCTAAAAATGAAAATGGCCTTCAAAAGTGTAGTGCAGTCTAAAGACGGCCCCCATTTAACACAATCCAACAACGACTCATTTAATGAAGAAGCCTGGGCCACACAGGCTGAGCTCCCATCAGCAGTCTATTCCCTGTGGTTGTGCTTAAAATGTCAGGCTAGAGCTGGAGGGTGCTGCACTACGCACAGTCGCAGTACATAAAACTTAAGGGGGAGGAAAAGGCCCTGCAGGTAAACAGGATGAGAAATGCACCCCTGGTTCTGCCTGAGGCAAACTAGGCCCTTCTGTTCCAGCGTTTAGCAGACAAGTGCTCCATTGATTCCCAATTAATATTTAATAGCAGAAAAGATAAAGAGGGAGAAATATGGGAGATGAGGAGATTGAGATTAAGAGGGGGAGACTGAGAATTTGTGAGTAGAGTTAGATACACATTGTTTGGCTACAAGCATGTAAAAGGGAAATATAATAATGCAAAACACCATCCACGCTTTTTGTCAATTAACTACACTTTGTCACACCACCACACAGGTGTTTTCACTTATTTTTTGCTGATTAGGCCTCGTCTCGGGATTATGTGGGTTTTTAAACACTGCACTTGACTGACATCTTCCTGTTAGTCTCGCTGCACCTGTTAAATCAAGGGAACTTTTATGTTCCTTTAAAGTATATGGAGTTTAGTGACCTCAGAAAACTCCAAGCACAGTTTCATCCAACTTCAACCTGAGAACAGGTCTAATTATTCAGCTTTTAATTGAAAACACCTGTATGCATGTCCAGGTGTTAGGCTAAGTGGTATTTGAAATCTGATAATTGCAGGGTGATTAAATCTGAAAATAATGTTGTGTCTTCTATGCTTTATATATTTCCCAAATACACATTTACTATGCAATAATTTGTTTATGGAAGATTAGACTTTGTATAGTAGTATGTTTCATGATGAATGAACAAAGGTATCCTTTATGAGAGTATATGCACAGGCTCATACGAATGATCTGGCAACACTATCAGACAGATAAGATTATCCTGAATACTGCCCTGCTCTGCAGATAAAAGGTGCACATATGTCATACAGACTAAGCTAACATTGATAGTCAAATTATGGTGATTCTGTCCCAGTAAAATCTGAATGGACACTGTTACTGGTCAATATTTGCATGCTCCTACTTTCTATGAGACCACAGTCTGTCCCATACTGTTTCATTTCATTTATAACGATCCTTTGTTAGCTACTGCAGTGTGGTAGCTATCCTCCCATGCATCCAAATAAAACACATTATGACAGCACAGGCTTAAAACAACAGTAACATTCCACACTGCAACACCTCTACCAAAGGAAAGTAAAACATCTTTAAAGGACCGAATAATTTATGATGTTTTATGGTTACATACACTCATAAGACTGTAATACACATCCAGCTGAACCATTAAACTGTAAGTAGTTATAGATCTTCAATATAGCTTCAAACCAGACCCAGCAAAGAAATATAAGACATCAGCAAATCTTTAAAGCAATCGTGAAAAGGAAACCACAGCAGAATAACTTCATTTGTGGTACTATGATCTCATTATGTGAATCTAGACTGTCCAGGAAGAAAAACACTGTGCAATTGGGAACACTGCACAAATAATATGGACATGGAGTAACCTACATAAAAGAAAGCAGTATCAGGCCAAGAACAAAATCAGCAAACATGTCGCATTTAATCAATTAATTGAAAGAAATCTAATCACAAATGTCAATCCAGGTTAGACACAAAGTCAGCCTTTCAGTGAATGCAGTATAATCAGTCAAGATGAAGGTCACACAACACTGACATGGAGCACTTTCTGCACAAAATGTGAACATCATTAGTAACCCTGTATGAGAGAGTTGATTAACTCTGTAATTTCAGAGTCCACTTTGACCTGCACGCATTTGCACTGCAGGAGCACACTGATTAGCAGCCAAATTAACAGGCATCATCATCACCATCATCACCATCATCATCATCAGGAGGCCCATTATTTTTAATTCACCTGAAATCTCAGCACACCGCTAAAACAATGCATGCATGTATGTGCGCTTGGAGACGACAAGGTCAATCTGAACATGATTGATTAAAATGTAACTCAGGAACATGACCAACTATCCTTCTATTTACCAGTATTTTCTATTTCAGACTGTCTGTATAGTACTTGCTGTCTGTCCTCTTTGTGTGTCATAAACTCACCTTTGTGGGTGCACGGCTGCAGTGGTGGTACTGACAGCAGTAATGGCGGTGGTGGGACATCAAGGCTTTTGGGTGTGCAGGCTAGACGCTGTGATGAGAGAGTCTGCCGTCTCTGGATACAGGCCAGCATGATAGTTCACTAGGGCTGCACACAGCCTGGGTTAACCTGCTAGAATGAAGAACAAAAAACATTTTTACTCTAAGGTCAATACTGTTAACACCAACTGAAATGTTGATTGAACAAGACTAAGAGTCTACAGCAACGTTAGCCATGAATGTTTGTACCAAATTTCATCACAAACAAACCAGAAGAGATATTTCAGTCCGGACCAAAGTGGTGGAACAACCGTCAGACAGTGAATGCCACATTGATTACCCCACCAGTTCTGTCCGCAATAGGTATGTTTTGGATTTGGAGTTCTTGTGATTGCATAGTTAGGCCACACAGTTTTGAGGATCACTGGAAAAAAAAGTAGATGCCAACTTTTAGTTTGGATCAAAACATCGAATTATACGTAATACATTTGAACTCTTGCATCAAACAGTTTGATGTTGGAAGAAAACTGCAAGCTTGCTGGTAGAGAACACAAAAAAACCCAATAGGAGGCTCTCCTCTTTCAAAAATACATTTTCCCGTTACTTCAGTAGTTTACATATCTAAAACTCTGAAACCACTTGTGTCCTTTTACCCTATCAGAATTCAGAAACCCCTTTTTGAACTGCTGAAATTTTGCATTCAAAAAAGTAATATCACTTAATAAACGACTCCTTCTGCTCCTTCCTCCTGGTTGTTATGATGTTTTTTCCTGTTATCAACCTTGCCCTGTCAGTTGCAATCACACAGATCATTTTCAAGGCCTCCTGTAGCCTCAGGCTGCGTGTTTCAATTTGTAACTATCCCTGAGACCTGCGTTTATTTTTCTATACATTTATGGCCGCATTGATCAGCAGAGAAAGCCAAAAGCAACTCACTCCCTAAAATAGGCTGTGCTGTTTGCAGAGTTAAGTATTGTCAGAGGAAATGAGAGGCTGTGTCTAAAGAAGAAGGCAGCTGTGCTGATTGAAGCAATCATTCTGAAGATAAATCCAGGCACTGAGGGAATCTTTCAGTCGTAATCGCATTTGACATTCTCTTTGATTATCTGAAAGAGTCACCAAATCTGAATGCTAGCACTGCAAAACTAAAAAACCCGGGGCTACCGTAAAAGACTTACTTACTGTATGTGAGTCGGGTATCTTGTAGACAAACCCAACTGCAATCTATGCAATAAAAATCAGAGGCTTATAGCTTATTAATAGTTAATCAATTACAAATTGAAAGAATGCACTAGTTCCCAACAAGGTTAATATAAGCCTGCAGCATACAGCTGTCAGATTGCTCCTTTTTCTTTAAGGTTGTAAGGTTCTTTTGGATTTTTGCTTTCATTTCTCCCTCAGGGTCCTGAGGGCAGCTAAAGCGAGTCAAACACAGAACAGAGTGTTCAGTGACGAGCTGCAGAAACATGATTACCTTCGCCTCAGAAAGAAGAAGAGACTGAGTGGCGTTCATTTTACTCAGGTGCCAAAAAAAAAAAAAGATTCCCTCACTCTTCCCTTTCTTCTGTACCCGCTCCCCTCCTCCGCTCAACATCTGTCCCTCGGTGACAAGCCCACTTCAAACTGCTCAGTGCAACCTGTCTTGTCTGAGCACACACACACACACGAAGAGCTAAAAGCCTCAATATGGTCAGATTCCATTTTGAAAATAATGGCAATTTCTCAACAACCCTTCCATTACCACTCATTTGTCAAGAGGGAGGTGCTGAAAACACAGAAGAGAACACAAGGGAGAAAAAAGGTATCTCCAGGGAAATCCCGTCACTAGCAGAAAATGAGGCATGAATTGGAATACCTTCCATTACTCCCATAATTTACAGCTGAAATAAAATACATCAAGGAAGGCATTATAATTCAAAGAGAGGCCAGCATTGGTTTAAAGAAAGAAAAGTTTCACTGAAAGCAGAAAAGCGGGAGCGAGAAATGATGCATAAAGTGCAAGTAATGATGGTTTCTTTCATCCTGCTATCTAAATTTTAAATTTAAAAGAGATTTTATGAAAACTTAAGCTTAAAAATTGCCTCCTCGCTCTTCAGTGGAATTACCAGAAAAGGGGGAAGAGAGATATGAGATCAAAGAGATCCCAGAATGCAAGATATTATCTAGGCTAAGTTCTCAAGCAATATCAATTCTCCAGCCCTCCATAGAAGGTTTTGCTCGACAAAAAATGTCTTTCTTACAATGTTATATCAAGCCATCTCAGGATAGATTATTCTCCTATAGTGAAATAATGCAGAAATTAAGTACATGCCAACTACAAAGTAATTGTCAAGCAACTTAAAAATGGCAGTATGTAGCATAGTTAAACTCTAACTTTGGCAAATAAGGTCAACGATCTTTGTCATTAACATAATGGCCAATGTTACTCCCTTCCAAGCCGGTTTTCATTACATTAGAGGTTATAAATCAGATGTCTCTCCCTATACTCCCCATGTCTTACAAGTTCATGTATTCAAGGACTTTTCTAACATGCATAATAAGAAAAGGGAGCACGTTGCAAGTTAATGCTGCAAGGACGTCTAATCCCAGCCACTCTCAGGTGACACCCATACAGCTGATAAGCAGCATGATGTGGACCACTGAGGGCCCGCTGGGGAGATAAAGACCTTGTGCTCTGCAGTCCATCTGTCCCCCCAATGGTTTTTTGATAAGGATGTCTAGGCAAATAAATCTATTTTTCAAGCCTCTTTCCTCATCATAGACAGTGCAAGAGAGAGAGAGTGCAAAATGCATTTTCTCTTGTTTCGTGTCCTGGGGATCCAGGGAACTTTGTGAGAACATAAGGTCAACTGAAGACCATGAGATACGTGATGGAGAGACTTTATAATGGTTGCTTAAGTTTAACAGGCAGGTGCCTTAAACTGAATTATAATTACATCTGTTCAACAAAAAAAAAAAAAAAGGTATCCTTCAGCTACTGATAGATTGCCATCAAACTAACATCATTCATATTTATGTAGTAAATGGAAACCTGGCTTAAGTTAAGCTCCTCACAATCTAGGCTATGTGGATCATATTTCTTGAGATAACAAAGCTATGATTACCCAGAAAATACACGACTATGTTTAAACAAAATTCAAAATGCAGCGTGCCTTGCTTTTCACCTGTTTGGCTGTAACAAAGCGGCAGCACAAGAATATCCATCAAAGCCAGAAAAAGACCTAAATTATACAGAGACTCAGACAAGAGCATCTGTCTGACCTTCTGGAGTCTTTTATGACTTCGTGCAGCATCAAGGGTCAGAGCGAAGATGGAGGCAAATTGCAAAGAGAGCCTCCCTCTCAACAAACATGAAACACACAGGAAAAAAAAAAAAAAGATACACACTGGCTCTTCACACACACACCCTCACCCTGCCACATTCATTCACACACACACACACCCCTCCCTAGCGGAGCCATCTCAGCTCCTGTTAGCAGTTCTCAGAATCCTCAGTTAATAATTAGATGATAATGAAAAAGGTTTAAGACGAGCACCCTTTTCACTCTCAGGGGTGGATTAGCATGTGAGTGCTATGCTAATGTTTGTCCTTCTTTCCACTTAGAAACAAGCAAAGGGGAAAGCGCACAGAAGCAATAAGAAAAAGAATAAAGAAAAGAAAGAAGGTCAATAAATATTTAACAAAGAGCAATCGGTCATTACAGAAGAGAAAAAGCAGTGTCTCTCCTTGAATGAGCACGAAAATAATTAATTGTATATTACATATCGCTTTTATACTGTCTTCAAGGTAGGCAGTGCAGGAACCTGTCTAAGTAATGGAGACCAGACAAGTAGTCTGACATACAGACGCAATTAGACAGCAGTGCTGCTGCAGCTGCTGGATTCATCTCTATACACCCCATACACATACACACACACACACACACACACACCACACCAACACACACACAGGGGCTCACAACCCCCTCCATACATTTTTAAATAGAATCTCTATTACTGTCTGTCGATTAGCCGATAAGAGCTTGCCTGGTTAAAATTCTATAATAGTTTGCATAATTGGTATCAGAGCAGCATATAAGAGGGACCCAGATTTCTCTCTTCTCCTTCTCTGTAGAAAAAGAAAAAGAGGACACAAAGGTTCACATACAGGATAACCAAACAACCCGGAGCTTCTGTGCTCCGCACTGCAAGAACACTCGAGGCCCGAGGCTGATAACAATGAGCCTCATTTCCATTGAGATTAGCTCCTGTAAAAGGTATTACAACAGTGTTAAAAAGCGTTCCCTATACAATTCATGCACAAGCACAAAATTTATGTAAATACGATGGCCAGGCAATATTCAGACAGATGTCCAGAGCATTCAGTTGGGTGTAAATCATATAGCGTTAATGGCTGAGTGTCTGGGGAAAAAAACATTAACATTTCAATTTTGCTTATGCAAAATTTTGTGTAGCCATCACAAGACAGTTTTGTTACAATAAAGCTAGGAGCGCTTAAGAAACGCTAAAAATCACCTCAATTATATAACAAACATCGCCAATTCTCAACTCTCAAACTCACTACTGCAAAGACACCTCACTTCATATAAATAACTATAATTTTTTAAAATTGAAATAAACTACATATGAACTATGAAAAGTCTTAAGGGAGTAAGAATAAATGCACATCGCTTTCATTAGGAACATTCTCAAACAATATTGTCAGCGCAATTTAACATCTGACACGGCAGCAACAAATGCTTTGAAATGAATGACAGCCCAACTCTTTGGGATCAGAGCTTGCACCATTAATTTCAGCAGCGGCAGCAGCCACAGCTAATGCAAGCATGAAGTATTTGCCTATGAGGTTTACACTTTTGACAAACAATTAATCATTTACTTTGGAGTTAATATAGGCCATTTGTGTAAGTCAGTCTTTCAAAACAGCATTGGTATGAGGATTGTTGAATATCTGGTTTTTCCTTTTGAGCACATTTTTCTCTGCCCAGCTTCCATTTGTGTAAAATGCTCTATAATGCCAAGGGGAAATGGCTGGTGGGGATACATATTGTATAATTCGGCTATGCCACATCATATTTCTGGAATTATAGGAACACAAGAGACAAGAGGTCATACACTGCGTTTTTTTGGAATAACAGTCTTTCTGACTTTATATATGTAGACAGATGCTGAGAGCAAATTTAGCCACTAATCCAAAGCTCCACAATTAAGTCTTATCTTGGAGAACAGCCTGGTAGGGGAGTAGAAAGCCTTGGACTGACCCAAATCTGCCCTTGCTTACAGATGGAGCCAAGGTAAAAGAAACACACCGCATGGGGTTTAAGTCTGGCCAATGCCAAGGTAGCATTAGAGGGTAAACAGAGCCTTATCTTATCCCAGTATGCGCACCGAGACACACTGTCAAAGAGCTATGGGTATGCTGTCCAGTCTTTACAAAACCTTGACTTCAAAGACAACAGATGCTGAAAGAGTGAGATGAAGGTTTTGTGGAAAGATAAGTTCTTTGATTTGAATTTAATGTTGACATGTGTTGGTCAACTCAGGTATGGATGGAATCATAAAACCATAAAAGGAGGACAAAAGGTACAGAAAAAATTACTTTATGTTACTAAAACACTCCCCCAACCCCCCCAAGCCCTGTCCTCTGGCTGTTTGCTTTACTGTTACACTGTTCAGGGTCACTGATTCCTTCATGCCATTAAAATCTTCAAGCAAACATGAAACTCATTAGAAACTGGATGGCCGTATGTCTCTAATGTGGGAGATAACCTAATGATACGCTCTCTACCATGCATCACAGAAACATCAAAATGTTCTGGGAGAAAAAAAAAAAAAAAAAGAGGGTCTTTGATCTCTGGACCAACTAAAAAATGTCATCATCTCTCTGCCTTTCTATTTAGGGCAAATGATGATACATCAATTTCAATTTGGCAGTCTTAATCATTAATTCAAAGTAATGACTGAGACCCATCATGTAGACAAAATAAAGACTGGAGCTCCAAAGAACCAGTCATTGGCCCTCCCTGATGACCTCAGAGGCCCAGTCCTTAACCTTCCACCCTTAACCCCCGCCTCACTACCCCCTTCATCCTATTGCAGTGAAAAGACCAATTAGACAGATTTCAAAAGATAGCAGGCTGCCTGTAATTACACATGACATCTCTTAGCAGATAAAGCAACATCTTATCAATCAGTCTCCCAACCATATAACTCACTGTACACTTAACTGGCCTTGCATGTGAAGCTGCGGATGACACGGCAGAAAAAAAAGACATGACCTTAATCAGCCCTTGTACTGGCCTGGGTAATAGTCATCCAAGAAAAGGTCATTCTCGTGGTGAGCCGTTTCCTCCATTCAGTAATTCGGTAGGCATGGAGATTGAGTGAGCCTGGGGAAACTTCACAATAAATCAGAGCTCAGCTTCGCTCCTGAGAAAACAAAGGGAAGCAGGCAGCCAAATGACAAATCCCTTCTCTTCACAGAGTTGGAATTACTGCTGGGGTGTGATGTGAGATCAGAGGGAAACCCCCATGGGATACCTGCACATTGACGGCTCATAACAGGACGCAGTTTATAGGCCTCTCAAACAAGTTCGGGCCCAAGCAAAGCACATTGCGAAAAAGCAAAACCATATATGAATATGTCATTGAGACTAGTTACGTTTAACAGTCTATAATTCAAGCACACAGTAGCGTCTAGAATATATGCCAAGAAGAACACGCACTAAACATCCAGCGGGTAAGTAAAAGTACTTGAACTGCAGATTTTAGAGTGAATGAAGCCAACGAATACACTTTATGATGAAAGGGGCGTGAGGCACTAAAATGTTTATTATGACGCTGTGGTAAATCAAAGGCCACAATGCCATGATTTAAATAGGTTTATAGGAAAGAAAGATAAGCTTATTCCTGATAGTCACGTGCCTTAAAATGAAAAAGGGGGGGTGGGGTTGATGTATTTTTCTCCTTTGGTCACAAAATAGCTAGGAAAAAAAAAAGGAGAGGACAATAAAACACCAAATTGCAGCTTTTTTTTTTCTTCTTCTCTGCCTCTGGTGGGAAGCTGTGACATCCCATCTCTCTGGGTAATAAAGGATCTGGCACAGGCAGGAAAAAGCATGCAGGGTAGAATTTCACACCTGGCCAATAATCTATAGGCCCCCTCTGCTGAGGCTAACCTTCAACCTCGGCTGCCACCGGTGCAGTGAGGTGCGATGATCCCACCTCCGGCTTCTAGACAATAGAAATGGAAACCTTCAGAGGCAGCCCTGAATGACCGATAATATACTTCAAAGCACTTCCCGTATCCACTGAGATGCTGACATATAAAGCGCCTTTCACTGCGCGCAGAGCCATCATTCAGACAAAGATGTTATCTGAGGATGACAAAGATGAGACTGCAACAGTTTTGAGAGAGAAAAATGATCATTCAGAAACTACAGATGTTTGTTATGCAAATGTTTCTTGGCCTGCAATCCCTAATATAAAATATAACAGTTTGATTCATTTTTAGTGAATAATCTGCCATTAAATGAATTATACTACACTGAATATAAATTACAAACCTTGGGTGGACTCGGCCCATAGAAATACACATTGGCTAATAGCAGGACAGTGATATATGAAGGGCGCTCCTATCCATTAGTGCGCACTGGGCATCTTTCATCACTTTAGCCCTGTCGACCTAAAATCAATGCAGAGATTCAGACACCATACATTGAAGCATCTCTACACCCCTTAATATGTTTATCTTACTCTCTTATTGTCACGTAATTACACAGACACCGTTTTAAAAAAAAAAAAACTAAAATAATTCAGCTGGTACAACTGAGCAATCAAAACATTTTCTGCACTGTGAAACATTTTCAACGAGCCCACACAGCGTCCCCCTAAACATTACGAAGGGAATAATGAAACATAATCAATGTCTTACAGAGTTTTCTCTTATCATAAGGCTTGTTTATCTTTGGTTCGCCACGGCTGATTGGTTGTTCTCCTGCTCGGAAGGCGTATTTCCTCTGCAAAAGCAATTTGGCCACAGATTTCGCGATGCGCAGTGGAGACCTCCGGAGATATATCCATGGATGAAGCCGGCTCCATTAACTGCACTTCCTCGACATATTCAACACTCTTGTAGCAGATAATTTCACCGATTACGGTTTTCGGTGCAGCTTGTGTCTCATCCCGGCCGCCGACCGAGCAGTGTGTGCCACGGAGAGTGATGTCGGAATGGAAATGAGTCCCTTTGCGCTGTTGAAACCGGCTCTGGGCCAATCAATCAGAGCCATATTTGAATATTCCCACGGCTCGGCCAATCGTGTGAAAGAGAAGGCGGTCCGCTGCCGTGATGCCAAACCCGTCAAAGTAAGCACGTTGCTATTTCGCGGAAAAATTTAAAGGAGAAGGAACATCTGATATTTAATCCAAAACAAACGCAAGTTTTTTTTGTTTTTGTTTGTTTTTTTGGGGTTTATCTCGCTTCCTGTACGTCTGATTGATGAAGAAAGGTACACATCTGGTCTGCGCAGTAGATGGGATTCTGTAGCTCAGCCAATCAGCAGGGCTTCAAATTAACTCTTAATTGGATCAGGTGTGCGGGAGCAAAGCCGGAAGCAAAAAGCTGCATTGGGGATAGGGAGGCAGGAAACGTGCACTGGATAAGGAAATAATACCACATTGTAAAAGACCACTGATTTACAAGTAAATGTCCTCCATCCAAATGTCAACATGAGTATGAAAAGTAAAAGTTTTTCTTAAAAGAATGCCCACAATGTGTGTATTATCATAAACATTAGTTTGTTTGATTCTCACTTTATTATAAAGGCATAATTTGAAGGTACTACTTTTTTATCTTTCAGCATATTTTACATTCATCAAATATTTTGCATGTAAAATGTGAATAACTCTCTAAGCCAAGCTGAGTTCTGTAATAAATCTATTGGAAAAGTATATATATAAGTAAAAAACTAATAAAGTACCTAAGAATTGTACTTAAATATTTGAATAAGTGTACTTTATTACTTTCCACCACTGCTGGGGAGACACAATAATTAACACCTTAAAATATAATGCAGTCCAACGCAGCAACACCACACCATGTAGCTTCATAAATTGAATCAGCACCTATCTGTCACAGTCAACAGAGATCATGGATGATACAGGAAAACCTCTCCAATGCAAATTATCATTTCACGACTAATGTGTGTTGACAGCAGAGAACTAATTTTACTGCAAATCCTGTTTCCCAGGTTTGAAATATCTCAGGATAAGAGCTTGCCACAATTTGTTGCTGAAAAAATGATTTAGTGTGCCATTTCCTCAGCAGTGTTAATGTTGTTAGTAACACCTGTGCTTCTCCTGCTACGATAAGTCAAAATGTCTGCTGCATGTGGAAAGGCCCCAGTTCCAGCATATATACGTCTGACACAGCTGCACTCACCTCTGCAGGAATAATTAGACATTTTGGGACATTTTGCTTTCTTGTTAGTTGTATCAATCTTCTTGTCTAACTCAAAATGTTGAACTGTTCCTTACAGCTGACTGGTCAATCTCAAATTTGGCATCTGTGACATCTCATCCTACCTCAGTGGAAACACCCCAGCATGCATTTCTCACCTTTTCCTGCTTTTTTTAAATCCTCAAATGCTCAATTAGACTTTGAACACCTATTTGTCAATATTTAACACAATGCTGGACTCAGCACCCTGTACACTAATAAATCTTCCCAACAAACATGTGATGATAGAAGCCAGCAGACGTGCTCTGCCCCGCTGTTGTTGTGAGAAAGAATATTGAATTGTGTCTTTACAGCTTCCTGATTGTCATTTTTCAGTATGAATGAGGCCATCGGATGGCAAATGAGGTTACCATGCCAACTAATGTCCCTGTATTGAACACTAGAAGATATAGATGTGTTATTGTACTCTAGTTAACCACGTTGTTCTAATGGCTCTGGTCTGTGCAGCACTTTGGTCAACAAGGGTTGTTTTTAAATGTGCTTTATAAATAAATTAATTTTTTGATTTGATTTGGTCAAACACATGACGAGAGCTCTAGAAATCCACATGTAGTGATTGTTCAGTTTGATCATGCAGAAATCCTAAATCAACAACCCCCTTATGGGCAGGCATGCTTTGTTGAGAGAGCAGGAAACATTCAAATAAATAGTAATTAGGAATTACAGACCTACATTACTCATTTCATTAAGAATTTTTCTTTCTGGTGTGAAAACAGTGTTGGGTGATTTACCTTCAATCTTAACCTCCGTGTGTTATCATCAGTGATTAACAAATTGAGTTGGGATTTGCAAGGTAATAGGCTACTTCCATTTAGTGATGTAATTAGCAACAGGTATGTTATGCAAATTCAATTATTGTTATGTCTGATTCTATATCAGAGAAAGATGCAAATTCTAACCAAAATGTGTTAAAGTTCAGAAGCATATAAAAGTGCTCAGATGACTTGTACATTTGCTTACTTCATACGTTTTTAAACACCACCATTTTGATTTTTATTCTAAAGCATTTGCATTTTGTGTTCTTGCCATATATTCCTCAGTTATGTCATATTTGGCTGTGTAAAGACAGTTTTACAATTAAATGATATTCATGTAAATAAACACACGCAGAGGGACTAAAATATCTCAAAAACAGGCTGACGCTTGGCAAGACGAACATGTATTTATGCCCATCTGCAACGTCTGTAAACATGTACACACACACATGCACCAATTTAAACACAGCTATTACAATAAAGCATTATTGAGGAATAGGATGTTACTGAATTCCCGGACCCAGCTGCATTTTAACAATAAGCTCATAAGCATGACAATAATATTCTAGTATTAGTCTTATTGAATTAACATAACACAATGGTGACAAAAGAGTTCAATTATGAATACATAAAGTCTGTATAGTGAATGTTTGTTTTTTTGAACTGTGCACATCCTGATTATCATTTTGGCAATGTCATCATGCTCTCATATGCTGTCAAGCTCTCACTCTTAAGACGGTTCTCATCAGACCAGAACGAACCTGGCAGTGACGGTAATAAAGAGCTCCATCTGCGCCTGGCAGGCAGAGGCAAATGAACCAATTAAGGTCTGGTGAAGTCTCCTCTTTCACCTATTGGCAATGGCTGCCGTCATCTCCATCATGATGAAAAGGAGAGAGTGCAAGGGTAATTAAATACCAGCAGGGGCCGGGGGGCAAACCTAATAACTCTCTGTAACAAGCCAATAAGGGACCTTATTGCTTAACAGCTCACACAACCCAGAGCATGTTAATGGTGAAGAAAACCGCTTACTGCACACAAACTTTCAGATAGTTAATAGGTGTGCACGTTCCTCAGAGAAAATTGACCTTGTGGAGAGATATCTGCAATAGCTCAGAGACAAAGTACAAAAAGCCTCTTATGCCACCGTTTATCTGCCCCAGTGATCTCTTCTGCTCTGGTCAGAACTGGCTTACATGTGAATTCAAAAACACTTTGCTATGCTGGGTATACATACCTAGCAGTAGTTTCTGTTATAGCATTGCCATCTGCTGGCTAAAGTATGCTTGTGCAACAATTAAAATTGCCCCATTATTGTTTTAAATGCCTATTCAATAATTCAATTTTAGGCCAAACCAACTTGTATGCCCTGTATTTATTGTGTTTGACATGAACAGGCCCTGCCCTGAATTATCTGGGGCTCTTTATGCCTGCCCCTGAATATGTTTGAGAACACCACTGGCTTAAATAAAAAAGCAAGAAGCAAACAAAAAAAAACAATTAACAAACACCTGCTTCTTTATAAGGATGCTGTAGGGAATCAGTAAAGCCCTTAACCTTGCATAGAAATGTAAGGAGACAATGGCATAATAATGAAAAGATAGTTATACAGCCACTTATGGATACCTCCTATTCTTGTGCCATGAAAGCTGAAAGAGATGTGTTATTCAACGAACAGTACAGACTGGAAATGAACGATATTCGGTAATGAACAACTGTGTGTGAAGTTGCTTGTGTTGAGGATAAAACTCTCACTGTCTCCCACAAGGCGTCCGCCCACGTCACGTTCCTACGGCAACGCGTCGAAGCTTCCTCCGAGAGGATCATGGGAAACAGTTCTGGCCGCTGTAGCGGAGGGAGTTTCGAAATATTTCACGATTAGCGACGGTATAACATGTTTTTATTGACAATGTGGTGACCAAAAGATGTGAGCATGTTTAATATTAGACTATAACCGGTGTAGCGGAAGTGCTCAGGGGAACGAATAAAAGCTCCGCGCAGTAAGCACAGTCAGCTAGGTGGCTAAGGCTAGTGAACAGTATGGTTGGTGTTGATGGGTTTTGTTCGTTCAAACAACGGATGGTAGCTAACAACACGGCACTTTAACGTTGTCAGTAAATGTCGCCTGATTCTTTGAACGTGTAATGTTTTCATGGGATATTTAATAATGATATTTATAAAGAGCTATGTAGCGAATCCCAGCAAATACAAATACGCTTGTCAGCTAACCTGTGCGTTTCTATCGTCTTGCCTTTCTAGTGGGATCCTGCGATCTGGATGAAGTCTTCCTGAGTGGGTAGTCAAGAGGGAGAACCGATGCTGTCTTTTAAACATGGAGCTAAAGCTGGAGGTTGTTTTGTCATCCAGCATCAAACGGAAGAAACCATGGCCGCGGTTCTGTTGGCTTGGGAAGGTGAGGACAGTAACGTGTTTTCAGCCAGTGACAATAATAAAGCTGGGCCCTCTTTATCTTAACATGACTGTGGACCTGTGTTGTGTTACAGGAGAAGGAGTCTGTGTTCCTGCTAGATGACAAACGGATCAGTGAGATCAACATGGTGTCTGGTCGCACCAAGAAGAGGACTCCTAAACTCCATCCTTTGCTCAACAGTGTGATGACAATGGCTTCATCTCACAATGGTGAGTTCTTTGTAAACTCAAAGCGAAACACTTGTCACCTGTCAGTCTGATAATACGTTTCTCTTGTGGTTTTTCAGGTATGTGGCTTTGTGGACTTTTGGTCTCAGGAGAGCTGTTTCTGTGGAACAAGGATAAAGACTTGTTGAAGACTGCAGCAGCAGTCCCAGAAGTAGTTCATATGATTACTGCCGTTCAAGGTATGCACAGTACATGTGTGTGAACGTTACTGTACATTTCATACCAGCATTCTTCTTAAATTGCATGGTTACCAATAGGGCTGACATTAAAGGTCCAGTGTGT